AGAAAATCCTCGTTGACGAAAGACGTGTTAGGTAGCGCTGCCAGCTAATACAGGTAAAATGTTATAATCATTAAAACTAATTGATGTAATGTAAAATGGTAGAAATAATTATAGAAATTAGAATATTTTGTTCCGATTACAGTAAATACAGTAAACAAATAGGCAATATAACGTCAATAGGAAACATTACATTGAATTGGCAACGTTAACATAATCATGCATTACCAACATATACGCCTGTATTAATTCTAAAAGCTCACGTAACTCACACTCAAAGAGTGCCAGAGTGGAGGTTCAATCTGAGGTTCCTTGAGTGTCAGCTAGCTGGAGGGTTCTATATAGTAGTCTTGTACCTTACTATGTGACTACTCGAGTCCTCCAGGGTTCGAAGCTCAGATTGAACCTCCACTCTTTCAGTGTGAGTGAGCTTTTAGAATAAGGGCGATAAAGAATAGAAATAATTATCACTATAATGTTGAAATTCAGTGGTGCAACATTATATAACAGTTTACCACGTGCGACCAGACAATCAACGTCATTAAGCTCCTTTAAAATTAGAGCCTATAAATACTTTTTAGATACTTATATATAAGTTATTTGTTTGTACGACTTTTATATGTTCTTGTTGTACTGATGTCCAATTTAATGTGTAGTTTTAATAGTAAATTTGTAATAAGTAGACGATAACAGTTGAACAGAAGGCCCAGTGTAAGATTAGCGTTGCTAAACTGGTTTTTGTATAATTGCACCTTCTTTAAATAAAGTTTATTATTATAAGTGCCCTCATTATATATAAATATTAATAATGTGGTTGTTGACCTGATTCAGTTTGGACTAATTTTAATCTATCATAGGGATTAACGCGTGAACATCGCGTGAAGTTGTAAACAGGTATTCGACGGATGTATGTGTTACTGTAATTATATACTTAATAGACTTAATAGTCAAAATACCAGTAACAATTGAATTGAATTCGAAAACGGAAAAAGCTTGTTCTTATACTAGTACTGTATGCATAGTTTCCGGTTGTGTATTTTCGGGAAAATTATTGCGGGCAACTATACTTGTATATATATATAATAGATACCAGTATTTGTTTAAGGTGGTACCGGTTCAATACAGTTTTTCTAACAATGGAAAATTTACGATCGAGATCCGCATTTTTGGACAATTATAACGCTTGTTTAAGTTTAAAAACAAAGAATATCTTACTTCTGTAAAATAACATCTAAATTAAAGGTTCAAATTCTTTCAAGAAAGTTATACAACCGCCGTTGCTATGGCATCAATGACGTTTCAATATGGAGGATATTTTGGCTTTAGAGTAATTTGACTCGACAACGACATCGGTGATCCCTCCCCCGCCCCCATTTTTGTTTTATAAATTATTTTGTTATTTTGGCAAGTTTAAAAGAATCTGTTAACTCAAAACTTTTCAAATTAGGTAAATGTGATTATTCATAATAAGTTTCTTTGGCTTGACTGAATTTCTTTAAAATTGTCAAATCATTGTTGCCCTAGCAACGGTATTTCTGTAATTTTTGTGCAAAAATTCAAACTCTTCAGATGCTGTTTTACGTAAGAAAGGCACTCTTCGTTTTTCAACAAGTAAATCGTAAATTTTCATTTTTCAGAAACTATCGACTAATCTACTATAAATACAGTATCACAGACTGTGTCTTCGTTTTGTATAATTGTACAATACGAAAAGCAAACTGGTTGACGTGTCAGTTTCTTGCAACCAATCAGCGCCGTGACCGCGTGTCCTTAATCGTGCAGTCTGCGAACCGACCCCGCTGCATTAAAATGCATGATCCAAATACAAACTGAACATATTCTATACACGTGCGCGCGTGCGAGGGCAATAATGTTACCAACATGTATATACTGGAGAGAGAGAGAGAGAGAGAGAGAGAGAGAGAGAGAGAGAGAGAGAGAGAGAGAGAGAGAGAGAGAGAGAGAATAGAGTATAATATAGTGACATTATATAACATGACTTTGTGTCAAAATTGTGACATGCAGCGACATGAAGTAGATAAGGATGGTGAAATACTGAAAGCAACGTGGGAATATTTTGACACTGTGCCATTACTGCCTTTGAAAATTGGATGAGTGAAGGCATACCTCCCTTTAAAGCTCGCTATAAATTGAGGTAGTAGAAGTATAGTATATTGCGCAGTGGTGGCCCCAGTGTGCATGCCCAGAGGATCAGTATTAGTTACCCAGATAGACTATAGTCAAAACATGTTAATTACCCATACACATTACCTATATTTTGTCTATAGCGCATCGACCAACTTTTACACTTTTTCGTGTAATTCTCCCAACTTCCTGCATGTGCTTAGTAACTCGATCAAACACGTCAATTCATAGAAAAATATTAATTAACCCATTGAACGCCAGCGCTCTCCCCATGCATTGACGAGTAAAGCCGTATGGCGTTAAACAGAGTAAAATAATAAACTGATTCGCGCATTGGTGCTCAATGGGTTAAACTACCTTAACCCTTAAGTGGCAATACACCCTACTTTATTATTTCGCTTTATTATTGATTAAATGGAAGCGCGAATGATTAAAGGCCCCGATTACACTATACCGGATTGCATCGAAGCGACGCGATTTCTGTACCGGATTGGCCTCTTGTTTACACTACGCCACTGTAATCCGGTACGTGCCGCGGCGCGAAAATCACTTCGCTTTGGAGGTGATATGAAAAGTAATCCGGTACGTGCTGTACCGGATAAAACCAAGTGTAATCAGGCAATCCGGTACGCCCCGGTACTATAAATAGGTTTCGGCAAGTATATTTTAACATTGTCGTTTTATTTACTCGCTTTTAAATATTTTATAGCTGTTGTTTGCTTCGCTTTACAATTATTTATTATTTCTAGCGAAGACAAATAAAGATAGCGGTAATAACATTGACTTCTTGCTTTCAAAAGGGCAAAATTTAATGAAATACTCGTCAATTTTCGATAAGAGCGAGACAAAGCAACGTCGGGCGGTCAAGCTTTGTAAACAAAGTTATAATTCACAAGTACTGTCGAGAAAACGTCCAAAATGGTCAAAACTTATTATTTGTTTCCGTGGCAACGATAAAAGATACGAGCTGGCGACAGAGCGAAGCGGCATAGTGTAAACACCCTTGATTTTGGCTTCGGTGTGAAAATTGATCCGGTATGAAAATCAATCCGGTATAGTGTAATCCCAGCCTAAATGGAAGCGCGACGCGTATTAAATAGTGGGAATAGGAAGAAACAGGTAAGGAATAAAGATGTGCAGCATTTTTTGTGCTGCAAAGACATTGGAGGTGAATATTAGAGGGGATTATTAGAGGGGAATTGATTGGAGGGGAATATTGAATATATTCCCCGATAAGAGCAAAGGAAACCGAGCAGGGCGAAAAATAAGGAAAGTTAATCACCGGAATTATGGAAAGTTTGTCACAGCAATTTTTTTTGTATTGGCTAATTAGGCAATTCCCATCAACGTCGGGCAAATTTTTGTCCGTCTCCCTACATTTTCTCCTCCCGTATGCCTATATGCAATACAAAGTGCAGTTTGTTTAATTACAACAGAAGATATTTCGAAGACTCACATGCAACCTCTTCCAGACTCAGTTCCTCTCATAATGTCATCCCCACCGAAGCGGGATATTAATTATAGGTGGAATAAAAGCAGCATACATGTACAGGTAGTGAACAGACAAATAATTCATCACAACCATGGGCGCTTTCATTACCACGGCCAGACCGGTCAGAACGGTCAAAATGGAGAGGTTAAGATACCCCGGTCCCCGGTTCCGGTTTACGGGTACGGGTAATATATACACGTACCCGTAAATCGGGGGATAACGTGTAACTTAAGAAATGCAGGATACTCCGGCGTTATAAGAAAACCGATCAGAAAGTGGTAACTTTCGCTGTTGAGGTTCGCCATAAATTGTTGAAAACTTTGACGAGCATATGTGCATTAGGCTATTTATTTTGGTAAGACTGTTGAAAATTTTCACTGATTTAAACGGCCCACAAATAGTAAACAGAAAACACCCGTACCCGTTTGTCTATTACGTGTAGATCATGGTTTACCGCGGGGAAACGGGTAGAAATTACGGGTAAAAATGCTGACATCAGCAAAAATTGGTAAACAAAATGGCGCGGATACTCGTACCCGTACGTAAACTGGGGGTATCTTAACCTCTCTATTGTTGAATGGAACACAAAACATTTGGGCTTCCGACCTATCTGACCGGAAAATTTAGATAACATTAGAATGAGGTCCATTTAATTTTCGCTAGATATTTGAGAAAGATAGAGGCTTTCCATTGATACAGAGAAAAGAATTCGGGTCTGACCGGTCAGGTCTGTCATGCACCTATCAATGTTTTCCCCCTGAGGGGGGGGGTGCGGGCAACCCACGGGAATTTTGACATTTTTCAAATTTTGTTGTCAAAATCCCCACTGTTGGGCAAGGAATGGCTGTCAAAATTCCCCACTATATTCCTAAGATAACAAGGCACACACATGTTTTCCAATGCGAACATACATTGTATACTGGTTTAAACTTGGTAAAAATTGAGACACTGTGTATAAAAGGCTATAAAATACCTTTTTCGATGAAACTTGATCGTGCTTCTCCGCCATACTTGTTACCAGGCCTTTCAATGTCAAAACCGCGCAAACTTTTAAGATGGCGGATGTCAAAATTTCCCGACTATGGGAGTTGATGCATAGGTCAAATTCCCCTCACTAGGGCTTCATAGTGTGGTCAAAGTCCCCTGGGTCGCCCGCACCCCCCCCCCCCAGGGGGAAAACAATGATAGGTGCATCAGACCATCAGGCCATTAAAATTATGGAAAGCGCCCCATGCTGATCAGTTGAGCTTCCTGGCAAACTGGGCTCATTCAAATGAAGACACTGTCATGCATACTTATATTTAAAAATTTTATATCCTAGCTGATCAATTCCCCGAGCGGTATTTCAATTCCCAGCAAGACGAACATGCTGTACCTGGTCATCATAATTGCCTTCATCGCAAAAACCCAAGCTGTTATTATTAAACACGAGCACCACAACTATCGAGCGATGACAAATGTCCTTAAAGCAATCCACAAACAATGGCCACACATTACAAACTTGTACACGGTTGGCAAATCCATTGAGAATCGTGAACTATGGGTGCTGGAAATTTCCGATAATCCAGGACGGCACGAGAAGGGAGAGCCAGAATTTAAATACGTTGGAAACATGCATGGAAACGAGGTCGTCAGCCGAGAGATTCTACTCCACCTTGCCTATTACCTTTGCAGCCAATACGACTCAAATTATGAAGTCGGAAATTTAGTCGATTCCACACGCATACATATCCTACCAAGCATGAATCCAGATGGGCGGGAAGGCTCAAAAGTTGATTGCAACGGTATTGTTGGTCGGAGCAATAAAAATGGGTGCGATCTCAATAGAAATTTTCCCGATCTATTAAACCCTAGAATTAGCGGGAAATGTACAAAACCAGAAAAAGAAACCAAGGCTGTAATGAAATGGATCTCTTCAATACCATTCGTTCTCTCGGCTGGTCTGCATAGTGGCACTACGGTTGTTAATTATCCTTACGATAGCATTAAGGGAAAACCGACCATAAACAAATACAGCAAGTCACCGGACGATGACGTGTTCCGACAAGTGTCTAAAGCGTACGCATATGCTCATCCGACAATGCATAAAGGGAGACCAAATTGCACAAGCTGGCCAGCTAATTATTTCAAAGATGGTATAACCAACGGTGCGCAATGGTATGCAATACAAGGTGGTATGCAAGATTACAATTATTTTACAAGGTATATATAGGAAACATTTTTTCCCATACTGAGGAAGAGGAGGGGGGGGGGTATTCCCTTTTCATTTCGTAAAATGTCGCTTAACTTTGAATGAGTTTTTAGTTTTTTCCCTTTCTTTTATTAAAGCAATTGCTTTGACGTCACGGTGGAATTAAGTTGCTGCAAATTTCCAATGGCGAGCAAACTTCAAAAGGAATGGAAGGATCAGAAGCCAGCATTGATAGCGTACATGAAACAGGTCCACAAGGGGATCAAAGGTGTTATTACGGATCGTTGTGGTAGCGGTATTGCTGGTGCTGAAATCAGAGTTAACAAAAGGGAGAAATCCATTTTCAGTGGTAAGAGTTTTGGCCGTACCGCACACAGCAACACCACACCCAATCTAAGAGAGTGTTTCAGGGATTTACAAACTCGAAGGGAGTGTGCTGATGCCCCAAGGAGTCTTTCTGTAACAATCTGTAAATGATTGATGAAAACTTAACGCGGGAAGAGCACGTAAATTATGTATCCAAAAAGGTATCCAAAGGCCTAGGAATGTTAAGATGTATTCGTGATCTGTAACAGTAACACGCTAGTTGACATATATATACTCGTCTATCATTCTCCCCCATTTTGATTATTGTAGTTTTGTGTGGGATGATTGCAGAAAAGGTTTACGGAATCAGCTACAAAAATTACAAAATCGAACAGCTTGAATAATTACAAGGAACACCTATGAAATACGCTCTTCCCAAATTTTGAATGACTTAAATTGGCCAACATGTAGACCAGAAGATTGACGAATGAGACAAAAATCTTGTCTAATGTTCAAAATATTCCACAAATTAAACCATTTAATCCAGCGAATTTAATTCACAGTCATGACTACAATTTTGTTATCCCTAAACCACAGTGGCGTGCTGGCAGGGGGGGCCGGGGGGCCACGGCCCCCCCAGCTGGCAATTTTTGGGGGGCGCAAAAATGAAAAGGGGGCGCCGATCCCGCGCCGAATTTTGAAAGTAGGTGGGAAGAAACGCATTCGAAAAAATATAGTTACTAATTCCGCCAAGGAAAGATGTGTTTATAGACTTATAAACAGACTAAGCGAATATGCGACAAAGTGAGTATATTAAATTGCAGACTATTTTGTCTAACCGTATTTGCTACCTCACGACTCACACGAAATCACTCGTTCATATAGAAACATGATCAGTGATCACACGCAATGTCTCATTATCGGAATATTGACCAGGCTTCGAAGCGATCACGGGAATTATGCCCTTTTTTGCTGGTATTATACCCTTATATTATGCCCTTTATTATGCTTCACGAATCACGAGAGCGGCGCAAATTAGATAGTTGAAGTTATGATAATGTAAAGTTGTGTACGCAATTTAGTTGTTTGCGCAAGAAACATTATGAGTAATGTAAGTAATGAGATAATGATGAAACACGCCCTTTTGGCAGCCAGGCAAGGAAACCTTAAAATGCATATGCGTGGGGTTCGTGTGTTATTGTATAAAAGAGCTGTAAATTGTAAATGTATTCAGATCAGTAGAGAATAGAATTGGGATTAAATTAATTGCTGGAAGTAGTTAGCATTGCCCAATTTAAGTGCGACTACTAAATTCTAACCAATTTTCAAATTTCGACACGTTGTAATGCCGTTTCCTGACCATCAGATTTCTGTCAAATCTTCCCCCAAAGTCCAGGAAATGCCATTCCAGAGACTCTAAATTCAAAAATTTTCCTGGGGGGCATGCCCCCGGACCCCCTAGGCGAACCTCGCACCTGCGGCGCTCGGCTCGTGCCTTCGGCCCTCGTTTATCAAGGGTAATATTATAGGGGCGCATATTAGTTGCCAGCCGACTGGCCTCCCCAGAAAAATAGTACCCAGCACGCCACTGCTAAACCAACTGACCAATTTTTTGAAAAATAGTCTCGAATATAATGGAACAGTGGTACGGAATTCGGTACCAATTGAAATTAGGAATTTTACATCACTAAAAATATTCAAAAACAAACTGTAGAAATAATTTATGTATTATACATAGCTTTAATGTATCATTTTCTTGTAAATAATTCAAATGTCACGGCGCCTGGCCATGAGAAGATCCAGGGACGTCGCGAAGCCATCAACATCTTCGTGTCGCTCGTCATGTTTTGACCAACATTTCCTACTGGATTTTGACAAAGTCGAAAAAAATTTTCCGGACTAACACTAAGCATTGTCAAAAAAAATTTTCCGGAACAACATAAACAAATTCAAAATTTTTCGACAGAAATGAGCAAATTTTCCATTTTTTTCATCGCAAACGTAACGAAAGCTTTAAAATTGTTAAAATTGCGAATTTTGGGCAACTTCGACCATCTTTTATCCCAAACTTTTACCAAATTTTTCCCAGTTTTATCTTCAATTTTAAGCAAATATCAGTTCCATTTTGACCAACTTTGGGCAAATGTCACTTCCATTTTGACCAACTTTCACCAACGTTTGAATTATTGGGGGGGGTGTTACACCCCCCACACACCCCTATAGCGACGTCCCTGGGAAGATCATCTCACTTTCGATCACAAGCCTCCGTGCTTAATAAATAAAGTAAAAAATATCTTTAGATAAAATTCCTAAAAGTCGTGTTTGACAATATTTTTGCACTTCTAGCCAAATTCGGTGATTACTGGAGATTGCTGGTTAAAGGTGAATATACCATTCAAATATCAGCGAAAGGATATAAAAATGCACGGCGGAAATCTGTTCAAATATCTGAACAGGTCAAAATTGTCAATTTTATACTTTACAAGAGTACAGGTGAGTGAAATAGGAAACTTGTCAACTTGTTGTTTGGAACGGACATGTATTACATGTCTATAGATAGAAATTGGTCATCAGCATGGCCTCTCTTTCAAACTAAATTTGCAAGGAAAGAACATTTAATTGAAGGTAAATTAAAAGCCATTTTCAAAATTGGCATAATTGAACTGAAAATTAAGATATACCCTATCCAGTCCTATAGTTTTCAGATGAGTGCCCTACTTCACACCCGTGTCACTTTATACTCAATGGGTAACAACCAGGATTTCTCAATTGAGAAATATAGGGGCGATACTCAACAAGGATGATCATCTGAATCATCTAATAGTGCCTTAATTTGAACCCTAACCATAATCTAACCCTGATCTGATCCTAATCTATAACCCTAACCTTGGTCTAAACCTGACGACAAATATTATATAGGCAAGACATTTAAGCGAGTAGTATGATTTTCGAAGCTTGACAGTAAAAATGTGGAATGGAAAATGAGGGAAAAGCACACATACCGCCAGCTGGTGCTTAATGGGCAGAGAAGCAAAGAAGGATATGGATGTGGATTGTGAGCTAAGATCAATGAAAATGGGTAAACCGTTCATAATCATAATTTACATTTCAGATAATACCTATTCGCCTTGTGGTACAATAAGTGGTCATGTGAATATAGCCCAACCAGAATCAGTTGAAGTGATCTGCGTTGCAAGTGACAACAGAAAGTTTACAAGTAAGTTTTTATTATGCATCTGCATGTAATATCGATATTCTTCGAACCGTATTGAATTTATAAAGTGTGCACATCCGACATGTCTGAAACATGATTGGACTGCATGCGGGCGCAAGATATCAGACTAGCTAAAGATTAGTGTCGGAGTCAATCTATGTTAGCCATGGGTATAGTTTGGGGTCTTCTGCAT